TGTGGGAAATTAACGTCTCCTACCCCAACCCTGCAGGAGACAGGACCTCCGTTTATTCGTCCTTATCCGAGAAGACTAGAATATCTAACCATTTCTCGATGTTATAGAAAGGTAGCAAATTCTTCTCAATTATTTTAAGACCTTGAGTGTTGGTCCGGCCGGGGCTCTTACCAAAGAAATCTGGTTCTCTCTTACCAAAGATATTTGGGAATGGTGCATCCATCGCAACTTGTGGCTTAGTGCAGCTCATCTTCCTGGCCGGGATAACACGGAAGCTGATGCAGCCTCACATCAATTTAATGAGTCTATCGAATGGACTCTAAGACGTGACATTTTTCTTACCATTGATCAATATTTGGGCCCCTTCACTGTAGACCTGTTTGCATCCAGACTTAATGCACAACTTCCTTGTTATGCTTCCTGGAAACCCGATCCAGAAGCCTCTTATGTTGATGCATTTTCAGTATCGTTGGCAAAGATAAACTTTTACGCGTTCCCCCTTTCAGCCTGATTCTGAAAAGAAGATAGAGGAGGAACATGCAGAGGGAGTGCTGATTATTCCCAACTGGCCAACTCAACCGCGGTACCCAAAGTTATTACACCTGCTAATCAATCACCCAAGACTGTTGCCACTAAAAGAAAACCTTATCCAGAACCCCGTGAACAAAGAACTTGTCCACCCGCTCTGGTCCAGCCTGCACCTGATTGCATGCAAATTGTCAGGACATCAATCCAAAAACAGGGAGTATCTGATGAGGCTGCAAACATTATCCTCAAGTCATGGCAGATGGGTATGTCCAAGCAGTATGATGTTTACATCAGAAAATGGACCCTCTAATGCTGTGAACGGAATATCGATCTCTCTCTACCTAGTAACTTTAGGCGAAGCGTTAGAGTTTTTGCTAACCCTTGTAAAGCAAGGTTTAGGGTATACGGTGCCCTGAACACTGCACATTCAGCCCTTAGTTGCATTATTCCTCCAACAAACAATGTCTCTTTTGGCGCACAACCTCTTGTCCCTAGATTTTTGAAAGGAGTCCACGAAATGAGACCTAGCATCCCAAGGTATACTGACACTTGGGATGTCAAGACTGTTTCAGAATTTCTTGCAAGCAAACATCCACCGGGACGTTTATCCCTGAAAGACCTAACATTAAAACTTGTAATGCTAGCCTGTTTATTATCAGGCCAAAGAGGACAATCTATTCACAGTTTGGATCTCAGCTCAATGACAGGACAGTTCATCCTTTACATTTATTATTACTAACATTGTTAAGCATTTGAAAGCTGGTACAAAACAGCCTGTTATTAAGTTTGAAGCATATCCTCATGATGAGCGTCTTTGTATTGTTGTGTTATTGAGAAAGTACATTAGCAGAACATCCTCTACCAGAGGCTCAAACACACAGTTATTGTTGAGTTACATTAAACCGTTTAAACCAGTCTCAAGAGACACCATCAGTCACTGGGTTAAAACTGTCGTGGAAAATGCTGGTATTGATACAAAGAAATTTAAACCTCATAGTACAAGGGCAGCATCAACTTTAGCCGCAAACACCAGTGCTGTCCCTTTAGTGGACCTTTTATCAGCAGCTGGCTGGAAGAGTGACTGTACCTTTGCAAAGTACTGTAACAAAGTTTTAAGCAAAAATTCCTTCGCTCGTGGAGTCCTTGAGACTCTGTCTAGTCAAACCACTGTTTAGTTAATTAAATTCTACATTATGGCTCTATAGTCTGTTCTCTGACTGGGCCTGAAACCCTCTGCATGCACTGCTTTGAAATCTCATGTGATCCTTTGTTGCGTGACAAGGTAGAATTTGTAAATTAAGCGAGACTTACCTGGAAGTTGAAGCTTGATTAGAATTCTGCCTTGTCATCAGCAATAAGGGATTACATGCCCTCCCATACTCCCTCCCCCACTCCCTCCCCTGTCTTGTCAGGGTTTCTTCTGGTTATGCATGCAGTGAGTTGTCTTTGAAGAATGATCTGCGCAGGCGCAATGCTATCTCATGTAATCCCTTATTGCTGGTGACAAGGCAGAATTCTAATCAAGCTTCAACTTTCAGGTAAGTCTCGCTTAATTTACAATTTTTTTTACAATACTCCAGTTACTTATTTCCTAAAGTATTTTCGTGCCAAATTTTGTGAAATTCTAATGAGTGGTTCTCAAGAAATAGGCATATTTCCAAGAAAGCATTTTTCCATTCAGTCGCAATTTTTTTAATTACTACGCATGCGCTGCATTTAACTGGGTTCTTTCAGTAACAACGAGAAAGCTGAGAATTGCTGGGTTCTTTGCACCGTTAACGTTTCTAACATATCTTTGTAATAAGAGATTAAAGCCCTCAATACACTGTGCCAACTATAGAGAAAAATAGCACAGATAGTGCAGGTACATGTTGAGTAAATAAAATGACCGCTCTATTGACGGCATGTTTGTTTTTTACAATCCTTGTGCGCGTGCTGAATTGCATCAGAAAAAGTGCGCGTGAAAACTGTGCTCAGCCACCTTAAACAGGAATATCTTTAGTACAAGGAGCATTGCATATGAATGATTCCCCGAGGCCCGTCACTTACGTTTGAGCAACTTTAGTTCTCAGTCTTGGACCAAGCCAAGTCAAACCCACAAAACTTCCATTTTGAGTTACCGCCTGATTCTCAAGCTTTGAACAAGACGGGCAAACTGGAAAGTAACCTCTCCACTACGTCTTTTCTTTTCTCGTTAAACTGTCGCGACAAGTAGTCCCTTATCTCTCCACTCGTGGCACCAGAGGGGCACAGTTGAAGATACGAAGAAATGATCCCAACGAGCACAAGCTCCTCCCCAGAGAGGCGCACTACAGAGGGTCCAAAATACATGAGGCTGTGACTCGCAAGTCCAGATGAGGCCCAGGCTTGGTAATAAGACATGTAACGCTGCTGATAAGCTGTCAGATCAGTTGGTACCTGCTCGTTAACTTCCTTTTCTTGCTCAGTGTTTTCATTCAAAGTGCTATCAGCAGGAACTTCTCCGTGATCATCTTCTTCCTCAAACTCCTCGTGCACTTGCTCATCATTTTCACTTAAACAACCTTTCACATCTGTTTGTTTATAATCATCATTGCTATCTTCATCCATATCGTCAATCACTTCAAACTGTTCATTATCGATCTGCACAAACCGGCCAGATCCTTCCTCCTCTTGGTCCTCTTCCTGTGTTTCATTCATTTCTATTATCGTTTGTTGCCCTCTTCTTTTTTTCGCTACCTCTACTACAGCGTTTCCTGGCTCATCTCCTTCATCTGGTGTCTCTCCTCTCACGATCATCTTCCCACTTTCTCTCAGCAAATCTTCTTTGTTTATCGATACTTCTCCATCCACATGTTCTTCTTTCGCTACAGCTAGCTTCTCTCCTTCCCTTGGCCTTTCCTCTTTTTCCACTGGGTTTTCCCATTCTGAAAACTTCGCTTCTCCGTTCCACACAATTTCGTCCTCTTTTACGTTCTTCTTTCCTTTTTCTTCTGTAGCATCAAGTTCTTTGACTCCTTCATTTGAAAATGTTGACACCTCCGTCCCTGTGTTGTTCAGTTTATCTCGAATACCTCCTAGAACCTGTTCAACTTTTGATGTACTATCATCCTCCATCCGATCTTTTTTTCCTTCTCCGAGTATATCATCGTAGTTTGTTTCCAGTCTATCTGTTGCTGTGTGGCGAGTACCACTACCCAAGTCCACAACAACTTCAAGGTCCTTCAATGGGTCACCGGTAGCTACCTAAATATCAAAGCAGAGTACACTTCAGTCAGTGATGGAGCGCCTTTGGATGGAGAATTGTAACTGAAGCCAAAACCAAACTAATCGCAGCGGTCCAATCAGAACAAAGAACTATATGACAAGGAGGCAACAAGAACAAAAGGTAAATAAACAGATATCGTCTGAAGCGCGGGAAACCAAGTCACGGGTTACCAAGTCACGATGGTTTTGAATCTAATTGGTTTGCTAGATCGAGTGAAGGACGTTGGGGTGAATGACTGTGGAGATCTTTCTTTGATCGATGTAGAAAATGTAGATGCACGTGCAAAAGAGTGAAAGCGTAACACTGTTCCCAGCCTTTATACTCACCAATTCACCACTAATTAAATCTTCCTGTTTGACCTTGTGCTTTTCGTGTTCCAAAGCTTTCTGTAAGCACAGGATCTGTCAGTGAAAAGGTGAACACTGTGAATAAAACGTCTAGCTAATAACCAATTTTCTGTCACATCTCATTCTTAGGGGAGGTCTCTAAAACAATATCCCTCTACATACCAGTCAGCAAATTACCGCCTCAAAGAACAAAATCATCACCTTAAATCAAAAGAATTTCTCTCGAGTGTTAGCAGAAACATTTTCCAAAAAGGCAACTACGAGCCTTTCCGGTATTAGCTCGACTGTTTTTGTTGTTTCACGCATTTTAATCTTTAATTTCATCTTAATTTACGTTCCACACAGTTCAGTTGCCAATCACTAATGGCTGAATTTGGCTAAATCTTGCGAAACAGTACCTGTCGTTTCAAAATTGTTCAGCATCTAATTTCTCTTACAATTTTAACACAATGTCAAACAGACGGTTAGAGAGAATAAGGAAGTACATCAGCTTACAAATATCAGGGGATAATGTTTGAAAATACCACCACATTCTCAGCCAACAAAGAAATGTCTTGGGGTCAGTTGGAAGAAACAGCATTCGATTGAACTGAAGACCTGTACCTCATAGTCTTTCTGTTTCAACCTTTCATTATACTGTTGTCTGGCCATGTCCACTTGATACTGATAGCTCTGCATGGACCACATAAGGTTGGTGTTCTGCTCAGCAATCCCTTTCAAGCTTTCAACCTGAGTACGTAGCTTGTCATTTTCTAGCTTTAGAGCGTCGATGGAATCTGCGTTCGATTCAACACCTGAAGGAAATCACATATTCACTTTATCGATTTAGGGAAAAAAAAAAAACTCACATTTGTAAAAAAATATTAATGTAAGTTACAATTTTGTCTCTTTACTTTGGAATAAGGGGATGACATGAGATCTCCAGAAGAGAAATAAATATTAAGAATAGTTCTATCAAGTGCTTATACTAAATAGTGGGGAAGCTCAGGAAATACTTGATAAAAAATTTCCAGTTGTGTGAGATGGTTGACAAGATTTCATATCTGAAGAAACAAAATGTTGAATCTCACAAATTGTGTTTGATCATTCTCCCTACAATAATGTAATAGGATATCAAGATGTAACAAATGAATTTCCAGAATGATGTATTAATACATAAATAATTTCAAACACAAAGGCTAAGTACACAGAAGAAGTATTTTCTTTGATGAGAACTATCACTGGGAAGATATACCGTCCCATGCATCTCTTTTGGCCCAGGTTAAGGTGACAAAGTCCATTGTGCATTCTTTCTAATTACAATAAGTGTCAGGAGGCACTTGCGTATACAGTTAATTGGAAAAATACAACAAAACACCTGAACCAAAGAATTCCCCAGCATTCTCACCAAACGTGAAATTTGGTATAAATAGAGATTACTCAAGATTATTATTGATCAATTATGCCAAATGATTTATTAATTATTCATAGACTTTGAAGGTCTCAATTGACTGCCTGACATTCCAGGAAAAAAAGTTTGAAACATTACCTGGACAGGGTCATAAGTAGAGATGAAAATCTTGACATGATGTCAAAGAAGAAGCCTCCAATGTATTGCCACTTTATCGTTTACTTACCTATCATTGGTAGATCCAGTCTTAAATATAATTCTCCCCTCTTTTTCAAAGTGAAAATTAGATGCAAGATAAGTGCATGTAGATCAACAAAACCTTACCTGACCAGAGAAGAAGTTAGAATCTGCACCCTTGTACAGCTGTGACTTAAATTGGGATCAAGTCAAACCCAATAGCTTGGCAATAGAGTTGTATACTTTTACCTGAAGCCTCACTGCAAAGTTTTTTGGCAGCTACTGGTGTAAAACTTTCATCTGCTTCTTGCCTCTGTTCTTGAGACACTTGGAGCGCTGGCTGTTCAATAAACCCACCAAGGTTTGATGCTTCATCATCCAAATCCATACCTACCTCCTCACGATTTTGTATTTCAGCCTCTTGGGCTGATTTAATTTCCTGGGAAATGGCATACAATGACATCAGTGAGAGCTGCCATAAACTTACCTTTGAGTTCAAATTCATCCTAGTTGCCTGATGCCTGACCCACAAAGCAATCAACACAGCCCCAATTCCATATGTGAGACTTGCACACAAAGTTACTAGTTTTGAGGTAGCTGCCTGCCTTAATGTATAAATAGGAGACAACACTAGTTTAAAGTGCCTATGAAGTAAAAAATTTTTTTGCCATGTTTGTTTGCTTACGTCTTGATGAACACAGCTAAGCGATTTTGACCGACCAAAAGAACTTCCTTGTATTATTTTTTGAACCTCAAAGTTTGGATTTTGCAATATTCTGAAATGAGTTCATTATGTGCGCAGTCAAATCTCATCTTACAAAGGAAGTGACGTAGTCGGTGGCTCTGAAGACGACAAACAAGAGCTTAAACAAAGTGCCAGAACCACCAACTACGTCATCAGAGCCAAACTCATTCCCAGTTTCCAGAGACACCGATAATGTCTAATTTAGGGACTTCGAGCCACCAAAAAGCCGATTTAAATTTCTTTTCTTAAAATTTCTTTTGTCAATCCTTGATAAGGACATAATAAGCTACAAAATTATGCAAAAAAAATTTTTACTTCATAGGCACTTTAAATTGTTACTCACATTTCTGATAACAGCAAACCACTGAGAAATAGTTTTTCTCTGTCCCTTTGTAAACTGGTCCCAAGCCTTTTGTTTAGTTGCTGCATCAAAGACTTTCCAAACAGCATCACCTGAATGAAATACATGTGTTGAAGTTCTTAGGTTAATCATTTAATTTAATTTAATAACTTTTCACTGTTTCAGTTTTCACTTTCAACCATTCATTGTGAAAGTGAATATTGTCATTCATCCAGGTTCAATTCAAATGAGGAATTTTTAAATCTTTTTCTGGAATTTTGGTCTTGATTATTAACAGATGTTTCAACTGAAACCATCAGTTTGATGGTTTCAGTTGAAACGTCTGTTAATAATCAAGACCAAAATTCCAGAAAAAGAATTAAAAATTCCTCATTATATAACCATTCACTGTTTTACAGATTAACAAAACATAATAAAATCTGAAAATTTCCATTACAAAATTACACTTGATCAACAAATTCAAAACTGCTCACCCACAACCAACTCATACCACCAGTATGATAAAAACTAACCATTCAATTTTTGAAAACCAGGCTCACAACACTTCCTAAACAAACATGACCCACATGACTCTAAAGATCATTTCTGCACACATTGTTGAAATGCCAGTCATTGTCAGTTGGCAAAGTCCTTGTCTGAAATACATGTACCCCACCCTTACAATCAGACGACAAGATCGGCTACAATCTACATTATAGTAGATTGTTTGAACCCAGGGGTGATATTTGGTTACAAAGTATAATCACCTGGGTGAGAGCAGTCCTGGAAATGGGACTGTTGTTGGAAGTAGTAAATGAAGTTTCAACAACTGTCAGTAGCAGCTAGTGGTCATCAATAAGGTTGAGCGAATGTCAGTCACTTCTACTAACAAAACACCTTCTTTGAACCACCATGACAGAAGCATTTAGCCTATACAGTAAACTACAACTTACATTGCTGCTTGATTTCACTGGCTCTTTCTGCTGCCTCTCTCTTTTGATTCTCCACTTGTTGCTCATGCTCCTTTCGTTTGCTGATCAGCCGTTTGACAAGGCCATTGACAGTGCTAAGCATTGTGTGAAAAACATTGACTGTGGAACGGTTACATTCACCTTTAACTAACCAATAAGCTATCATCTCCAAAGAATTCACCACAGATTTGTCATGACGAATCAGATCCAGCAACTGGGAAGCTTTTAAACGGCTATATATCTGGCCTGGGTCATATTCACCGACATATTGATCAGGCTTTTGTTGGTTTTCAGCGACATTACCAGTGTTTTGAATATCTACCTCATCTCTTGTTTCTTTGAAATAATTAACGCGGATACGACTGACCTTTGTCTTGGTATCATTTCCATCTCCGATAACCAACAAGTAACCATTTAGTTTGACAGCCATATCAACAAAACAATGTTGTGAGAATGTTAGATGGCAATGCCTCACATTGGCGTTTTTCTTCATACTTTTAAGACTTATGTTCTCTATGGGTCCAAACACACTAAAAATCTCTCTTATGATAAACTCATCAGCCATTCCTGGAAGACTGCGAATAAATATTGAATGACATCCAGGTTCCTTATCATTCAACGGTAACACATCCATGTCGTCTTCAGGAGGTACAAGGTAGCAGTTTGGACGTAACATTGCATTCAGAGGAACAGTGAATTCATCCCTCTTCCCATATTTGGCTTCATTTACATTCAGTCTCATCAACCCTCTGCTGTGCTGAAATTGATGATGACCCTCTGTTTGAAATCTGAAGGGCTCTGGTTGCAAGTTAAGTTTTGAAACACCATAACCTCTTCTGTTGACCACACCTTTTCTGATTCTTTCATCCTGTCTAAGAAAATCCCTCTTTGGTGATACAAAGTCTGGAGGAATTATATCATCCATCAGCACTCTTATCCTTCCATGATCCTCACAGAAGTATTCTCTCTCATCAACAGTCTGATTATGGTAGCGTTTTCCAAGTCTCCTGTTATCATAGTTATCAAACCCTGATTTGTCCCTTTCATGATAATTATCAGAGATGCATCTTCTATCCTCAGTGTTTCCATGTGCATACTGCTGTTGATTGTTGCACTGTTGCAATTGTGCTTGTACCATTTGCAACCCTTGCAATTGATGAGCAAATTGTTGAGGGTTCCCCAAGAGATTTCCAACTGCAGGGATCAGATTCAGCCCAACAGGGTTACCACTGGGTGGCCATCCAGCCATCTTTAATATCCTATAATGCTAGCTGGTAATAACCTAAAGAAAATATTTTTAATATAATTTTAAAATAAATTAAAGTAATTCCAGTGAAAACTAATCCAATTTTTTAAAACAGAGTCATTATTAAACCATCTATGATTCCTTAGCTTTTAACAAGGCCAAGCAATACATGCAAAATATATGTGAAATCCAAGGTGCCATAACTCCAACAAATTGTAGTAAAGCTCAAAGACGCTTAGTAACACCCTGAGATTAGCTTTTCGCAAGTTTTTTTTATCAAAAAAAGAACTCTCTGAACCTTACAGAAAGTAGCAGGAAAATAATGGAAGAATATCTCCTAAGAGCCTGACCGTATTTCAAAACATGAGGAAAGAACCGTAAACTCTGCTCGTCCCATTTCTTTTCTCCCAGGTTAGCGGGTCGAAGTTTCCTGAGGTACTCACTAGGGTCGGGAGGAATGTTTGTATTGGAGCTGGATGAATGAAGACCACTCAAAATTAAGTTTTAAACAAGTCTCAACGCTTATGCAATTATCTTTTCCCCAAAATTTCTTGAAAAAATGCGTCAAATCTTGTATTTTAAGCGAGTCTGAAAATAGTTTTTAAGTACTTTTTCTTTTCTCCCCCCACCCCTTAAAATAGATAACCTCGATCGCGTGACAACGACACTATTGGCTAAGCGTCCAGGCCTTCTCTGAAAATAAAAACATGGAACGCCTGTTAGAAGTCGTACTTCCACGTAGTTCATCGCAGCCTGATCAGCTGAAACTGTTACGACACCAATATCTCTGTAGTTAGTAATTGCTGCGGAATGGCTGCTCTAGCACGATCCAAACGAGGTACGTCAAAAGAAACCAACAATATGAAAAATTTTGGAATTAAGTGTTGAAACGATTTTTTTTACACTTTCAAACTTTATTAACGCGTCACTTCGAATGAGCGCTGTCAAAACTTCATCAAGTGTACATCTAACTTACGCAGAAAAAAATAATAATTGAGCTAACCTCCCG